AGTGGATAGTGATGGTATTGATACTCGCCTGAGGGCCAGTAGCCTGCCCTCTGCCTCGGAACCAGCCTCCATCCTCTTATGCCGACCCATCTCTTCTACTAACGTAAGTGTTCAACCTAACTTTTAGCTTTCCTAACCTAACCTTTATTTTTCCTAACTTAACCTTTATTTTTCCTAACCTAACCTCTTCTATATTAATTGTTTGTGCATACCATCATAAAGTTAAGATAAAATTTTTACTACAACATAGTTGTGTGTCCTCAAAAAGTGGAGTTTGGGGGTCGGCCTGGTCTCTATTTCAATTAATCCCATATGTTATGTTGTTCACTTTACGTGTTTCTCACTTTCCGCGGTACCCTGTGGGTTATATTAACCGCGTAGAGTGAGGGTTGACTGTATATATATATATATATATATATATATATATATATATATATATATATATATATATATATATATATATATATATATATATATATGTAACCGGTCGGAATTTGCTGGACTTTAATTTCTCACTTGACTTGGGGTTTATTAAAATTTAATAGATGGTAAAGGCAGTGGAAGCGCCCCTTTGAGAAAAATCCCGAACCAGCACAAGAACACTTAAATCTACTATACAAAATGAACTGTCCGTGACCCGTGGAAGGATAGCGTCTGTGACTGGGATGAATGAGACACACTGTAAAATTTAGACACTTATATTCCCTCCAACACTACAAACACAATCAAATAATGGTACACCAATATGCGCACCTCTTAACTTAAACTTAAACCACTACTCTGGGGAATAAAAGTTATAAATGACATAGAAATTATTAGAAACACAGGCAACAATAAATTTGAAGTATTAAGAAATGTTGTTTACTCCACCATGAATAGGCCTTAAGGGTCTTCAACAAAATAATATCAGTCACTGAGGAATGGTAATAAAAGATAAGAAATTAAATACTCTACAATGAATAGGCCTAAAGGGCTTTCAGCAAAATAATATCACTCAACAAAATTATAGCACCCCAACAGGTGTACACTTCCTAACCTAACCTAACCACTGCTCTGGGGAACAAGGTTATACCTGAGATCAGAATTATGAAGAATTAGAGGCATTAAAAGAATCAAATACAGTATCACTCTGGTTCCACTTAATGGCACAAACATTCAAAAAAACACTACTATCAAAATTATTTAAGAAATATTAAACTACACACGTCAAGATAATATCAGTCTGAGGAATGGTGTTAACTACACCCGTGATAAGGAAGATAAAATGTTCCTCTAGGTATCTCCTAGAGTCCTAGACTCACAGTCTCAGTGTGTGACCATTAATATACTCAGATAGCCTCAGTGTACTCCCAGTGCGTCCATGGGCAGGAAGAGAGTGAGCCAATCAGACCTTGCGCAGTTGAGAGAAACTTTAGCTTCCCGTTAGCAAGAGGGTTTCACTAGCTGCTCGGGACATGTGGGGTTGTGCACCGGAGTGGTAAGAACTGATCACTGCCCTGCTGTTCTTTTGGTCCGTGTCGTGTTGGTTGGAGCCTCGTTCCCTCAAGAGATCCTTTGATACCCCGCTAAACAGTGACAGGCCTACACTGATCGGTCCAATGGCGACAATCGCCACCCTCAATCATCAACGGCAGTCTCAAACGGCAGTCAATCTCTCGCGGTCGCTCGATCAGCTCCAGTCAGAAGTGGGTTCGGCGACCTGAAATGAACTCACTGTAACTCAGTTTTGCTGTCCGCCCTATCATAACCCTGTCTGAGATCGAATGAGACTTAGCATTATACTGCAATAACGACTGGGTGGCTAGAGCCCGTGACCTTCTGATGGGCCAGCGCGGAACGTCTTGTCTGTATGAATACTCTCCGGGACTGTAGCCTGGCTTCCAGCGTCTTTGTCTCCCCAGGTGCTAACTTAGGCCTCGTGATATATTTTCGCCTAACTTCGCCGCTCTAACCTTTGACACCCTTAACATTATTCAGAGTGATAAACGATCTATAATAATTTCAAAATCAATAATAGTCCCTTACTTCATGAATCGCATCATTATTAATTCGGTAAATTACATTTAATATCATATAGGCCTAGTTCCGCAATCTCTCGCTATGAGCAGGCAGCGCTCTCTCCCCTCAGATGACCTTGAACGCTCAGTATCGCTAATGGCGGGGCATTTGAAATTACTCTGAAATTTCTGAATATTACAATCGACCCCCCTAAAAAAAGACAGCACTGTCCTCATGTGCTGAGAAAACATGCATACGACCCCCCTAAAATTTTGTTCTAAGGACGGCACCTCACCCCTTTAACGTGCTAAATGCAGCATTCCCGTCTTCTCTTCTCTCCTTTTCTCTCCCGCTAACATATATATATATATATATATATATATATATATATATATATATATATATATATATATATATATATATATATATATATATATATATAACCGGTCGGAATTTGCTGGACTTTAATTTCTCACTTGACTTGGGGTTTATTAAAAATTAATAGATGGTAATGGCAGTGGAAGCGCCCCTTTGAGAAAAATCCCGAACCAGCACAAGAACACTTAAATCTACTACCCAAAATGAACTGTCCGTGACCCGTGGAAGGATAATACGTCTGTGACTGGGATGAATAGAGACACACTGTAAAATTTGGAGCACTTATATTCCTCCGCCTAAGGCAATCAAATAATGGTACACCAATATGCGCACCTCTTAACTTGAACTTAAAACACTACTCTGGGGAATAAAAGTTATACATGATACAGAAATTATTAGAAACTCAGGCAACAATAAATTTGAAGTATTACGAAATGTTGCTTGCACACATGAACAGGCCTGAAGGGCTTTCACAAAATAATATCAGTCATTAGGAAATGGTATTAAAATTTAAGAAATTAACTACTCTACAATGAATAGGCCTTAAGGGCTTTCAACAAAATAATATCAGTCACTGAGGAAATGGTAATAAAAAATAAGAAATTAAATACTCTACAATGAATAGGCCTTAAGTCTTTCAACAAAATAATATCAGTCACTGAGGAAATGGTAATAAAAAATAAGAAATTAAATACTCTACAATGAATAGGCCTTAAGGGCACTCAACAAAATAATATCCCCCACTGCGGAGGTGGTATAAAAATAAGAAATTAATAATTCCACCATGAATAGGCCTAAAAGGCACTCAGTATAAATATGTTACCCCAACAGATGCACACTTCCTAACCTAACTTAACCACTACTCTGGGGAACAAAGGTTATACCTGAGATCAGAATTATGAAGAAAAATTAGATGCATTAAAGAATCAAATCACAGTATCACTCTGGTTCCACTTAGTGACACAAACGTTCAAACAACAATACTATCAAAATTATTTAAGAAATATTAAACCACACACGTCAAGATAACATCAGTAACTGAGAAATGGTATTAACTACACACAAATATATTGTCACTATTATTGGTTTGTTACTGGGTCCACCAATACCCGTGAACCATGCTCCACCCAACTCAACATACACCCGTAATAAGGGAGATAAAATGTTCCTCTAGGTATCTCCTAGAGTCCTAGACTCATGGTCTCAGTGTGTGATCATTAATTTACTCAGATAGCCTCAGTGTACTCCCAGTGCGTCCATGGGCAGGAAGAGAGAACATGGCAAAATTGTCTATTAGGTAACACTTCTGTGCGAGGACATTAATTGTTGTACCAGAGTAGTAGAAACAGTCACCCTACTGATCTGGTCCCGTGTCATTTTAGTGTGAAACACACAGAACCTCAAAGTCCTTTTTTGCCCCATTAAACAGTGGCAGCTACCCAGGTGGTTCAGCCAGCGACAATCGCCACCACCTCAATGTTAATGGCATGGTCTCAGCAGCAGTCAACTCCAGTCAGCTCAAGTTGGCACTGTTCGAAAAGTGATTCCGGCCGAGCACAAATATGAACTCTGCCATTATTCCTAGACACTGCCCTATCTAACCCTGTCTGAGATCGAATGAGACTTACTTGTTATACTGCAATAGCACAGCACAGGTGACTAGGCCACGTGACTATTTCTGTGACGGACGTGCAGGGACGTCTTGTCTGCCTGACTCCTCCCCGCGACTGAGGGCTAGCCAGCGTCGCGTCTCCTCAAGGCGTTAGCTTAGGCCTACATGACATATTTTCTGCCTAACTAATAACTCCTTGGGACACCCGTAACATTATTCAGACTGATAAACGATCTATAATAATTTCAAATTCAATAATAGTCCCTTACTTCATGAATCGCATCATTATTAATTCGGTAAATTACATTTAATATCATATAGGCCTAGTTCTGCAATCTCTCGCTACGAGCAGGCAGCGCTCTCTTCCCTCAGATGACCTTGAACGCTCAGTATCGCTAATGGCGGGGCATTTGAAATTACTCTGAAATTTCTGAATATTAAATATATATACATACATACATACATACATACATATATGTACATACATACATACATATATGTACATATATATCTTGATAAAATCACACGGGAAAAGGGAAACAACGGAGCACCTTAGCTTTCTTCTTTATTCAAGACATCTTCAGTTGCCTCTGAAGATGTCTTGAATAAAGATAAAGCTAAGGTGCTCCGTTGTTTCCCTTTTCCCGTGTGATTTTATCAAGATTTATCTTATCCACGTTTTCATTGTGGATCTACATGAAATATACATATATATATATACCTATAATTTTTTTTTTTAAGCCTCACAAAATTGGATACAGTATACTGGGATGTGATCTGATCTACAGCCTGCTCCTGGAATTGTCTTGGTTTGGGTTACTGATTTCTGAATTAAAATGTGCAGTAATCTATTTGAGTCCTGACAGTGTTATTTACATTGGTCTGTGGGGGTGATATCCAAACTCTGTATAGAGATGCCTAGGGTGGTTCTACACCATGTACATACAATGCTGATGATAAGAATAATAGTAGTAATAATAATAATAATATACTACCTTACTTGAACAGATGACCCAGATGATCCATTTGACTACGATACCATTGAGATCCCAACTGTGATGGGTCTCTTGAGGAATATTCTTACACAATATCCTGATAATGGACAAATAATTAAGGTGAGTACTGGACCATATCTGGAGAACTCCTGTAAGACCTTTCAGGACATCATTTACAGTATACCCTTGCCATCTTGGACTAATTGGGGGTTAAGGACAGTGAGTAGGCCAGAGTCTGACCTGGGTCCGAGATCTAAGGGCAATAAGTCTGAGATAGGAGGTTGAGTCTGAGTCCGACCTTGGTTTGAGATCTAAGGACAAAATGTGTATGGCGTGATTGGGAGAGTGGTGGCCAAAGCTTCACCCATGTCACTAACTTCTGGCTCACTTTCACTGTCTGGGCCTGTCACAAGGATTTCATGCGCTTAGAAGGACGATGAGGAGGTGGAGAAGCACTCAGCACATGCTTAGTAGAAGGTTGAGGGTCCATCTCTCTCATGTGCTATGAACAAATTAACTAATTGGCCCGTGGAAACATCAAGGCATCCTTTGGGTTCAAATAATATCACATTGCCTCCATATACCAAGATCTAACTATACAAACAATGCAATTGGCAACCTCGACCCCAAGCTCCAAGAACAGACTTGCTTCTGATTCGCCGATTTAGCTTCTTTGTATCCATTACAGGATTTGATCAGGCAGAACAATAGTCATACAGTCCACGTGCATCATATCTTGCCAATACAGTTCAAACTGATAGCATTAGTGAATCATTTAATACCATGTGTGTGCTGGGCCATTAGCCATCCATGTTCTCATTTGATGCCTTGTGCAAGAAGTGGGTAACAGAAAATTTTGCCACAAGACCTCAGCCTCATTAGCACAGTTCTTCTTTCACTGATATTACTAAAAATTGATTTGAGATGACGTGACAGTATCAAGGCAGTAACATAGGAATAGAGGACAAACATCTTGATAGAAATATAAAGTTCCTTTGCTGACAGCTTTTATATTTATATTTTAGGGTATTTTGTTCTATACCTTTTAATGTGTAAGATAGTAGTTGTAGCAGTGGTTATTTGAATTTATTATTGAGGGTAGCAGGTAAACAGTGCTATGTTTGTTCTCTGCACTACTACAGTGTGGTTGTCAAGAAGCTCCGCTCACAAGTGTGTGACGTCAGTCACAACTGTGCTATTGATCCCAGGGTGTGATTTAATTTTTTAATTTGGAGTCTTTTAGAACCATCCATAGGCCTGTCTTGAGAAAATTCTACTTGGAGGCCTTGGTACTGCTTTAAAGAGAACTTAGCACCCTTTCTTAAAACTTGGTAATCTAATCCAGACTCTATACGTATACATATATATAAATATAGCAATTTGACTTGTAGTTCTCTCTTTGAAGGGCATTGTGTGAAATATGCTTTTTATGAAAAATTAAAGTTAATGCTGTGTTTGTCATGGATAGTAGGTCGCAATCTCACACTCACTGAACTTACCTACATTACTGGTTTACTCTATTAAGTAACTTGAAGAAAGGTTTTACAAATAAAAACAAATTCCTGTACAGCTTTAGTCAACAAATATAGGTCTATAAGTTGCTCTCACTATGGAAATAATAACATGACTGTAACCGAGTCTAATCTACAGGAACTTGTTCAAAATGCTGAGGATGCTGGAGCCACAGCTGTTGAGGTAGTACATGATGCCAGAGAGCTGCAGTGTTCAGGGGCTTAGGATGTTATTCAGAGATTTTTAAAGGTAAGACAATTTTTTTTCCAGTAAATCTTTTTGTTCTGGAATAATTACCAATCTTTGTAGTAGACATATAAGTGGGTGCATTGACTTCTTTTGACCCTTCTGGTCATTGATGGAAGTAACTCCAGTTTATCCAGCTTTAGAATTGGTATCTAACTTAACTTTAGGAGATTAAAAAAGGTGGTGTAATACTGTTCTAACTGATTCCTTGTGTAATAATGGCTTGTATTTATTATGCTGCTGTATCCACACTACCATTATAGTACAGAACTTATTTACACAGTAATTTTCTTGTAAGAAAATATAATTTTTTGTGAGTTATCCTGATAAGTAGGACCAATGATTCTGGCCCTATCGGATGTTTGAGCACTCCAATGGCTGAAAGTGGTGTCACCAAGCGGCCAACATGTATAAACACATTAAGCCCATTGCACCTTACAATGTACTGTACAGTCGGCCAAAGATGCACCATCCCTGCTTTGGGTCTTGTGCTTGCAGTTTTACCTGGCAATGCTTGGTAAAGGAAGGCTGTATGTAAAGGTGATTGTGATTGGTGGATCAGTTTTCAGCATTTGCTATGCTTATCATTTTCTCACCTCTTTCACAACGCTTTATAATGTCTGCCTTTGTTTACAACATAATAGTGCGACGCTTCTTACTACCACTGGCATCACTCTTACGCTTCTGAGACATGTTGGGGTCAATAATATTCGTCAAAACCATAAATAACCACAAATAACACCATGAGGCAGCAGAGGAACACAACAACAATAATGGCGTTAGGGATACAGGGTGACGCTGTACAGCCAACGCCATCTATCGTGCGGCGGTTGAACTTACGACTCGTCGCGGTTTTCAAACAGGCAATTGGACAATATGGACAGGTTTGTTCGTATCTCTGAAAGTTCGTAACTTGAATGTTCGTAAGTAGGGGAGCTCCTCTAAAAGATAATTATTTGCCTACTTAGGGAGTATACTACCCTTGGTTCTTCAATAAGCATGAAGAGTTTCTCTGTGCTTATAAGGCACAAAACTTATAAAAAGATACAACTTACCTGAGAACGTAAATTAATGTAATTGATATTATTATTGTTATATTCTTACTATTACAGTATTATATTTGAATACCGTACAGTATTTGAGATACTTGAGGAGGGGTTTTGTATGCTGTATAGCAAATAATTTTCATATAGAGAGGTAATATTGTACAGGTGCTAGGGTGGATCCAGGAATATGAAAAGGGGGGTCCAGTCCAAGAAGTGGGTGGGGCACCATGTGCTCACCCACCCAGCTGGGGAGTTATATTTATTTATTTATTTTTATTTATATATATACAGTATATATATATATTTTTTTTGGGGGGGGGACTTTTTTTCTTTTTTTTTAATCTGACCAATATCATGGCCATTTTGTAGTCATGTGCACTTGACATTAGGAGACAGTCTGAGGTCAATAGTAATTACTTTTTACTATACAAAAATGCCTGAGTACAATACGAGCTGTACATTAAAGAAAAAGTATTGGCATTTTCTGATGAAGGGGGGGAGGGCGGTCAGTACCCCCTCTGGATCTGCCCGTGGGTACACTCACCCAAAAAAGTATCAGCCCCCGGGCCTGATCTATTTAGAAATGAACACAATAACACTTGCACAGCAGTTGCGGTTCTGTTGGTGTTTCTAATTGTGAGTTACACCTTTCGTTCTTTCTTCTTGCACCTTATAACTACCATCATGAGTAACCCCACTCATTTATGCAGTAGTACCCCGCTTAACGCGGTCAACGTGTTAAGTGAAAACCGCGCTAAGTGAACAACAGAACATATGGGATTAATTCCAATAGAAACTGGCCCGACCCCCAAACTCCACTTTTTCCGACACAATACCTATGTTCTAGTAAAAATAACATCTTAATTTTATGATGGTACATGCACACAATTAATACTTAAGAGAAATAGAGAAATACAGTCGCCAAGTTAATGTCCATTCAAATAATGGACTGACTCCCTCCCCCTCTTCTCACACTACTAGCTGGCTCTTCCTCCTGAAAGAAATTTTGGGGAAAACCACTAAATTTTTAATAAATAATGCCTCAAACTAAGTTAGGATAATACAGAACAAGCATTTGCTGGATTCATAAGACCAGGAATATTTTGGAATATAAATATATTGTTTTTTGCACAAAAGATATATATTTATCAGATAAACATTCCTAAATTGTATAATAAAATCTATGATGTTTATATTCAAAATGATCATCAAATTATAAGAATTCCAGCAATGTAAATTATATTCTGACAGGGTAATTTGTATGAATTTTATGAGCTAAAACAAATATGTTCAGTTAATAAAAAAAAAAATATTCTTCACACAGTAACAGATGGTCGGTTGGTCCCTCCCTCCCCCCACCCCCCACCAACCTTGTCCCTACCAGATGTGGGAAAACCAGAATATTTACCTTTTTAGTAATAAATAATACCTCAAACTAAAGTTAGGATAATATAATTGACATTGCTGGATTCCTTGTAAGACCAGGAATATTTTGAATACAAATGTCATATATTTTGCACAAAAGATAACATATTTACTCAGAGTAAACATTATATCTAAAATTTGTATGTCTAATGCAAAATCTATGATGTTTATATTCAAAATGATCATCATATTGTAAGAATTCCAGCAATGTAAATTATATTCTGGCCGGGTAATTTGTATGAATTTTATGAGCTAAAACAGGCAGGCAGGGTGGCGGGTGGGGGGTGGGGCGAATCTAAAAATAGCTCTCGAGCCGGACACTCTGCGATATGTGGAAAAAACCCGCGTTAAGTGAAAGTTCAGCTCTGGCGAGGCACCGCGTATACGTGAAATCCGCTAAGCGAAACCGTGTTAAGCGGGGTATTACTGTACTATGTTTACATGAACAGAGGTTACAATGGAATTGCTTCAAACGAAATATGAAACACTATGATCCGATATTACATTCATTTGCAAATACATAAGAAACCACCAGGCATCGCTACCAATGAGCACAGCTTCCCGGCTCTCGTCTGTCTCACTCGTGTCCCCCGCCACACTGTTAATACATCTCACTGCAGCCCTTGTGATTTGTGTTTGTAAAATCCTATCATGGTTCCAAAACTCCCCTTCTAAAGATGGTGACAAAGACGATAACGCACCAAAGAAAAGTGTTGACTTTAGTCGAAAGCCGAAATAATAAAGAGACGTGAGAGTCACATGACTTATACAGCATGTGCTAGGGCATATGAGACGAACTAATCAACAGTTCACGACAGATTAATGATCATCCATCATCATTCATCAGTATCATTATTCATCAATAATGAATAATAATAATGATGAATCATCATCATCTGCTGTGATGTACCAGAGGGAGAGTTGGGAGGGAGGATCAGGAGAGCAGAGCAACATAACTTGGCTGGTGAGCACAGTACTGTACAGTATTCCATAATGGCCTAAGTTCTTTTCCTGAGTAAGAAGCTAGAACTGGAGCTGAATAATCAATGATACTCCTTACTGTACTTAAATACATAGATCTTAAAACTGGTATGCCAACACCATTTCCTCTATTTGACAAAATTTTCAGAGGTTTTAGCCGAGCTGTACATATAATTTGATCCTTAACATTATTATTTATACCCACAAACATTCCCAGATATTTGTAACTGGATAATTTTTGCAATTTTATTCCATTTAGCCAAAATTCTTTTCCATTTACTGCCCTTGACTGAAATTTGGTTTTATTTTCATTAATGACCAGTCCCAAGGAGAGACAAAGATACTGCAGCTGATCAATGACCCTAGACATATCTTCCTCATTCTTACATTGGATCAGAATGTCATCAGCATAAATGATTACAGGTTGACAACCCTTTATCCGAAATTCCGAAAACCGAAAAGCTCTGAAAACCGAAAGTTTTTTGTGGAGCAATTTTTTTTTTAAACAGGGATTAGCCCATCCAGACATAGATCACTGACCCACATCGGGGCCTGGGGGGCGAAAATGTAATAGTAATACTAATTATAATAATAATAATTATGATAATAATAATAATAATAATAATAATTATAATAATAGCCTAATTATTCATAGTAAATAAAAAATTTAATTAAAAAATACACCATAATAAAATAATAATGATAACAATAATACTGTATTAATAAAATAATAATAATAATAATAATAATAATAATAATAATAATAATAATAATAATAATAATAATAATAATAATAATAAAGAAATACAAGAATGAAAAAAAATTAAAAGTGAGTAACACGGCCTAGACCTATGAATTATTATAATTACTGCATTATTATTATTATTATTATTATTATTATTATTATTATTATTATTATTGTTATGATTATTATATTTTCGCCCCCCAGACCCCAATGTGGGTCAATGACTTTTGCCCGGATGGGTTAAAAAAAAAAAAAAAAACTGAAAACCGAAAACCGAAAAATTCCGAAATCCGAAATGCCTCTGGTCCCAAGGATTTCGGATAAGGGATTGTCAACGTGTACTTAGGGACTCGCCCTGGAATTTGTAACTAGCTATTCTGCCCATAAGAATATTAAAAAGTAAAAAAAAAAAAAAGCATAGGGCCAAGAATGCCACATTGTGGGGTACCCAACCCTAGACTGTTTTCTTCAGATTCATGACCTTGAAACCAGACACTCACTTTTCTGTTAGTTAAGTAATCTGTAATCCACATCAATAATTTCCCTTTTATACCTTTACTGTACTTACAAGACTTTCTAAGATCACTTCCTTATTTGCCTTATCAAAGGCACTTTTAAGGAACACAAACAGTCTACAGTTGGCATTAGCATTACTAAGATATTTAATCACACAATCTGTAGTGCTTTTACCCTTTAAAAATCCAAACAAATAACTAGACAAGAGACCATCATTTTATACAATAATCTATTTAATACCATTTGCTTCATCATTTTAGATAGACAAGATGTTAAGGATATGGGACTAT